GGTGGTACTACCTTGACATTCCATTTGCTGTGTGCTTGCGAAGTTACATGGAGGAGGACCCATTTTAGCTTGTTTACCGTACGTTCTATAATACCATCAAATGTTGTGTCTGGTAGTGCTTAGACTACGACGTCTAAGGCTTCTGGATCTTCCTCTACACGTGCTGTGGGAGGTATTCAAAAATTGGAGTTGGGCTATCTGTTTAGTGAGGACGTTGACTGTTTGTCGTAACTCGGCGGTCTCGTCAGTTGAGTTTGATTGTAACTGAGATACGGAGTGAGTCCTGGTCCGCCCGTGAATTCTATCTGCTATGTCCGCTAGCCTATCAAAACCGAAATCTTTGTCTCCGATCGCTAGTATCTGTTGGATGTTTTGTGGGATACGTCTGAGCCACAATTGATATAAAAGACGTTTATCTACTTGACGATTCCCCTATATATTCGTCATGTGGCGTTTTAATTGATATGATGTGCTGTCACCTAGCTCGATATTAGCTAAAAGTTGGTCACTTGTCTGCTGGTCGGTGAGAGATGTAACACCAGTGACCCCTCGTTTTAGGCAATCGTATTATGATTCAGGATCCGGTTTCAAAATGACGTTAGGCGCTTTTTCAATAATGAGTTTGCGTAGCTAATTTTCGTGCTCTGACATGTGATTCTGTTTGCCGCAGAAAAGCTTTCTAAGTGCGCAAACAAGAGTTCAGACTTTCGAGTATAAAGACAGGTAAAGGTACAGAGATGGCACCCACGGAAATAGACTTAGATGAAAGGCTTGGTGAATTATCAAGTGACATGATACGAAGAAATAATAACAATAGCAATAATAATAAGCTGAGGATTGAAATATACAATAAGAAAAAGTCAGAAATAACAACAAGAAATATATATGAGACCCACTGAAAAAAACACTGTCACTTTGTGTTTAAATAGGCGAATATACAGTAATAATTCCAAAGGAACAATGTTATGGGTGAATTTATTGACTCTCAATGAATTGTTAATAATTGTAATAGTAATTCCAATATGAAGTTCTTTATGATTGAAGAATATGCAGCAGACTTTGCGGAGAAATAGTGCGTGTTCTAAATGCGGCTCATCAAGTTTTTAGAGGCAATTTTCCTCTATACCTGACTCCAATAGTATCAACATGATTATTGCAAACGTATTCAACCTCCTTTTTTAGTTCGCATTTTTGACCTCGGAAGTTTGACATGGATGAGTAAAACTGCATATCCTGTTTGAATGAATTGGCTATTTTACGAAATATATAGACTTTTGTTTTATGCCTAATTCACTTCTCATAATTTGGTGGTAGGCCACTGTCATAACTGTGAATTCCCAGAACTTTATGTTTACCCTTTCATGAAAATCTCAATAAACGTATCTCGTTTCGGCGTATATTTGAGTAGGTTCACAGAATAATTCATTTGTGTGACAGCATTTATTTGTGTTTTACACATTTCAAAAACATGAAACCACCAATTCGTACCACATGCTCAAAATAAATCAACCATTCACAACTGACCTTAAAGATTTCCAGGATGGAATATATATTATTTTGGACTGAAAACGAACCCTAAATTATTCCGGAGCTAAGTTAAGTATGTTAATCATTGTACTCCACTATTCTACCACGATGTTTAGATTGAACACAATTTCATTTTCCTTATTGACTCCACTAATATATCCAGGTAATGCATCATCGTAGATCGTGACAAGTTCTCTCCTGTTTGTTATCGGGCAGATAGTTCAGGTACGTAACAATTGTATTTTCTTTATTGTTTGTGTGTCATGTTCATGTTACACACCTACGGATTCATGTGTCTTCATGCACTAATTTGAATCGCAATGGTGAACAAACTGTGTAGTGTTTCGGTTAACTGGTCTTCTCACTCACCCGTCTAGTGCTTTCAGGTTTTCCATGTTAGTCTAGTTTCATTTGACTCATGAATTCAACTATAAAATAAACATTAGTTATTTTACATTATCACATTTAAATGAAAATATATTTACACTTATTATCATCAACCTAGTGAAGAATATTTATCAGTAAATCTATCTATATTAGCTTGAAAGAATAGTTCTAATTCTAAATATTTTCAAGAATTCATATAACTGTTTACTTTACCTACAAATGTCTCATCTCTGTAGCGTTTTGTGTTTTCATCTTTTAATATATTATTCTCGTTCAAATTTCAGTGATGTTTATCATTCATGTCTCTTTGTAATTTACATAGTTTAGATAAACAAATAAATCAATTTCAATGGTTAAGATCATGAGTCAGTTGACCAGTGGAGTTCAACCAGGTCTGTTGTGGGATAGTAACTCACTGAAGACAATGGTGGATGTGTCGCTCAATTTCATGGATTAGTTGAAGTTCGGCACTAACACCGTTGGATGCCGGCTCAGTGGTCTAGTGGTTAAGTGCTTGCGTGCAAGACCAGTAGGACCTGGGTTCGAATCTCGCAGGGGACAAGGTCGTGGATGTGCACTGCTGAGGAGCCCCATACTAGGACGAAACAGTCGTCCAGTGCTTCCAGGTTTTTCATGGTGATCTAGCTTCAACTGACTCATGATATTAACCATTGAAATTACTATAATATCCACAAAACCCATCTGAAATAAATTATTGTCTAACCAGCTGGTCAAATTTATTATCTGTATAACACATTAAGCAGATTGAACAAGCCTAATAATAATAATACTCTATTCATAATTAATTTAACACACTTGTATGACTTTTTGTTGTTGAAAATACTGTATGGAAATTTTTTATAATCAGCTTAAGCTATTCACAACTTTTTCAATGTTGAATACATGTTGGGTAGTTGATATTATCCCGTCACTTTTCCATTTATGTTGTCAATGTGAGTTGGATATTACCGTGTCAAAAGTATATCTTCATATTGCTAAAAACTAGCTAGTTCCATACTTTGCTAAGTAATTTGTTTTAAAAACAACTTACATGATACATCGATTTGTCTTGAAGAAGGTTTTAGTGTGGTCGAACTGTGAATATAATTCACGTGCATATACGTATTATTATCTATCACATAATTTAATTATATAATGGTTACAGTGATGTACTCAATTAAATCTAAGCAGATGTTTCCGAATACACATTATCATTTATAGTACAGGAATCAGGGCTGAAATGTTTATAAAGGACCTTTGGAATATGTTATGCACATAATTATGGGTGGAGAATCCTATCCCTTGACATATTTACATAAAATTATGCATTCCATGTGAATGAGGTGAGTATGTTCGTTTGTATTTATAAATATCGATTGCGTGATAATATCCTATAAACTAAACAGTTAATTGCCATCTGGAGTGGATTAAAGTTTATTCTAAAATGTGATACAAAACATATGTCCAACGAGAGACCTCAATAGGAAACTTTAGTCACTACATTCCTAACATTGTTAAACTGATCATTTCCACATGAAAGATACTTCAAATGCGTGGCTTACGTCCTATTCAGCTTGTACTGATGCGACCGTTTGAATAATCCACAATACCACATCAATTTTTACTAGTGATCATGGTTATAACCTACTAGTTAGCAGATGAATCTATTATGTTTTGTAATGTGATGTCCAATATACGTTAATTCTTCCTGTTAGCTTCGGAATTTTATTGTGTTTGCTGACTCATACTAATACGAATGAGCCAGCTTACATGATTTGAACATGGATTATCTGGTTTTTCAACTTAGTGTGTTTACTTCACTTCTCTCTCGCATTTAGACGCTTCTGATGGTCCACAAATGAAATGCCAAGGTGGATGAAAGCTCTTTACCAGACATTCCAAATCAATAGTATATGTCGTGACCATATTTAACAGTTAACGATGCAACTTAAAAGTCGACAGATAAATTTAAGTTGAGCATAAGAACTTTACCGGAAAATTTAAAATCTATGGTGAAGTTGGAAATACTTTAATCTTAATAGTGTGAATTATTGTTAAAATTTACGGATCAAGACAAGTTTTAAACAGTATATTTTTTGATTACTCTTGATCGGGCCTAGTTTAACAGGAATTTTTCTAACTTCTAGTCAAAAGTCGTAACATTCAATTGAGTTGAGATAGGTGGACGTAACGTAGTAGTAAAACAGTGGTCTCTGACTTACGTCTGTTACTCATCATGGAGGAGCATAGGTTACCCATAATATGGTCTCACTTTTCATAAAATCGACATCCTGAAAATTTCACAACTACAATGATATCCTTCCTGGATTAATTTTCTAATAAAATAACAACTCTTTAATTCAAAAATAATCTGTTTAGGTTATTTTGACAGCAAAAATATGTATCTTCAAAAAGAAATAAGACTGTTCAATTATATAGAAATCTGTAATACATAAGTTAATAAAAGAATCTGTTAAATGAACAAAAACCAGTATGTTTCGCCCCCCCCTTCGTTTGCTTTTTAATTTCGAAAATCAATATTAACCTATTTCAAATAACGAAAGATATGATAATTACTGGGTTTTGGTTTCCCAAAAATAAAGTGCTTTATTGTCAATTAAATTATCTGAAGAGAAAAAAAAAGTGAAATTAACACCTTAATTATGATTGTAGTGTTTATATTGGGAAATGTTCTCTATAGAAGAGGATGTTAAAGACAAAAAATCTGATCTTAATGATTGTGAATATTCTGTATTTATCGGAAATGACAGATGTGATCATGATGACAATGATGTTGGTGTTAAAGAATTAATGAAAGAATTCACACCCACGTCTCCTGATATTATTAAATGTGTTGAGGAATGAATTAAATCGTTATTTATTTCATTACTAGTATGGTTATTGGAATATGTAGACGTTGTTTTGTCGAGACCATGTAAATGAGTACGTTGATATCTTTTACAATGATCAGATCTACTAAATGTTTTTGAGCATAAAATGCACTTGAATTTAAATGATTTCTTAAATGTCTCGTTAATTCATCTGAACGTGAAAATGTTTTCCCATATATTGGTGTAGTCAATGAATTAAGGAAATACACAAACTAATGGACGTTCACCTAGAAAAATAAAATAAACATGCATCGCATTTAAATCGGTTAGTTCTTTTGGTCAATTTATATGAAGTTTATTTAAACTATTTAGTTTTGATGAATACCACTGTTTTTGCGTTAATGTATTTGTAAAGCTTCATCAATTTAAAGTCTATTTCACTTACTAACTTACTTTAGCTGTGCAACTACTTAAAACTAACCAACATTGGACAGTTATTTTATCCAACTTTAGAACCTGGTAAAAGTGTAAATTAAAAGCCCTTACTAATCCTTGAGTTTAGAACCATCAAGGAACAATTGTTTATTTCTGTTTGTTTTTTAAATGATAATTCAGCTAAAGTCAATTTATAAGTACCAACTTCAGATATTACCTAAGTTTACATGAAAAGTACGTAATGTTAATCAGTTCACCTTTTTCTAATTAACGACTACATTTGAATTCTTAATACCTGCAGTATAGAAACAATATATTTCAAGCAAATAAAACACTTAATAGATAAATCGAAGGATTTACTAGATATCTGTTATATTCGAGAATCAAAGCATAGGCAATATTTTCATCACGAGCGGAGTTTCAACATCTCAAGACTAATCATTAATCCTCAAACTGTTATGCTAGTATATATTTGAATATGTAGAAAATAGTTCTTTTTGCAGCTTACATTGGTGACGTTCGGAACCATTTTTCTAGACCAGTTAAAATTGTGCTAAGAAATAAGATTAGTGCCATAATTTAGTTAGTTGATAATATAATGATTACTTATAAGTAGTCTTATTGGGTTGATGGCACCACATAAATTGACATAAGTAAATAGGAATTTTTATAGCCCTTAAATTGACTTTTTATGACAGTACAAAGAGGAATAACTTTCGTGACCCTAACGTTATTCTCATGATTACAGGATTTCTACTTTCCCTATAGCACGGAATTCACTCAGCATGTGTAAGAACTAAATAACTAACGAATTGTAAGGTAGAATTATATTTCCTGCTGGTGTCATCCAACATTACCGACTGAATTTATGCTGCTCTTTGTTCGAAGCTTGTGTTTTTATATCTGGAAAAGAACCATGATGTGCTTTATAAAAGCTTTATTTAGAAAATATTGATATTGATACATCCAGACTGTTGAGTTTTGGAGTGTACAAGTTAATGTCCAGAAGGCTTTATTGTATTCTTAAATAGCTTTAGTATCGCATTGGCTTAATATTAAGCTAAAATGATATGATGTTATTATGCATTCATGTGCGCTTAGTAAATAACTTCTCTTATGACATAGTCATATCACAATAATCTTTGACAATGGAAACAATTTTTACAAAATCAATTACTTAATTGATTCCGTTAAGAGTAAGCTTAACGAACTGTGACGATATACTTTCATTTTCTCTGTTAAATAAACTCTGTTTTTCAAAGTGTCATTCTATTTTTGATTCTTAAAATTTATGTTAACGGCCCTCACATTGTGAAAGTAACTTACAAATAATGTGAGGAAAATTAATAATAGATTTACATTTTGTTAGATGGGATAATTGTGAACAACTGAGCTACTGACAAGGTTTTCAGTAGGCAATATTGCCTTCACTTCATTTTCAAATTATGGTTTCCCTATTTATCGAGGTTTTAAAACGAGACAATCTTGGACTGATTGATACTAAATAGGAAAATAAACAGTTATATATGCAAAATGGATGATTTATCTATTTCTCAAAGATAGAATTAATATGCATCGGATAACAAAATAGTTTTCTATATATGGCTTAAGAAATAAGTAAAACTATGAACGTCAGTCGGAATATTAAAGTAATTAGTAACTAATACTTGAGATATAGACAGAATAAAAAGCGAAGCTCGTCTGACTGAAATTGGTAAACACTAAGTAAACACATACATTTATTTCTTGGGGTCGTCTCTTGTTCATCTAAAACTAGGTTCAAAATTATATCGTTTTGATTACCAGTTGAACCTAATAAATACGATGTGTTTACACTATCCTCCCACATGCAATATAAATTTACCTAGTTTCGCCAACATGTTCGTAACTTGTTGGCTGTTAAAATATGTTTTGTGGCCGACAAGCTGGCTAACCAATAAAGTAATGTAGCTACTGGATACGTGTACCTAAATTCTAACTTTTTGATCACAGAAAACAAAGTGGTCCATAGAACAGTATAATAAAGTAATGTATGAATATGTACCAGAAGCTTCAATGACTAAGCATCCAAATGATTTTTATTCGGTATCCGGTTATTTTTCCTAAATGTTTGAAATGAAAGTACACTAGAAACCAAAATGTACCACTTACCAGTATGAATTCGATAATGAGCTTTTAGATGGCTTGACGTTAAATACCTTTTCCCACAACCTGCAATGATTAACGTTGAAGAAACAAACGTTAATTAAGTGTCGCATTTGAAAAACGTACGTACATTAAATTCTGTAATTAGTCATTTGAAATAAAGCAATAAATAAATGCACCATTACTGATAATGTGAAAATCAAAGTGATTATTTTCATAAATTACGGTAGAACAGATCAATTATCTAACGGAGTTGAGATTTCGTAAACTTTACTGAGGAAAATTCACTGTCAGGTTTAGTCATAATTCGAGTTTTACAATACACATACCTCATTTTAAGTCATGGATACACGTTTCATGATTACTGATAATAATGGCAACCAAGTTACTTGAGTAAACCGTAGAGACAAGCATCTAGTACTTAAATCAAGACTTATACACGAATTCAAACTAGTTTCTTAGAGTTGTATTGAGTAATGCTATCCATGGAGATCCTGGTCAGAAACACACCTTCAGATGCTATAAAGCCTTATTTCTAGCAGCTTTACATGATTATTGGTGTGTAAAGAGATAACACAAATTATTCTATTAAGTATGACTACCTGATTACTACTTACAAGGCTAAGTATAACACACCAATTCTATGTTGTTTTGGAAGCAAAGAACTTCACTTCAATGAACTGTCAAAATTTAACAACAATCCTAGCAACCAGAAGTAGTATTTAAGTTACAAGAATTCCCAGGTGTGGATGATAACTATTATAAAGTTTTTTGTATGGTTCTAAATTTGTACCATACATAGAAGATACAATCTAGGAATGACTTTTACGACTGACAAGTAACTATTTCGCCCCATCCCAGAACTTCAGTCGTCCACAACTATTTATCAACACGGGATAGATTTATTAAATTATTTCGTTTTAAGATTGAATACGTAACTGTGGGGCCCTTTGTTTTGTCATCATTTATATCATACGATGTTGTCGAAGGGCTCTCCACTTTAGTGGCCCGTGATCTGACTCCAATTAGACCGCATGAATGATCGTTGTGGTAATATATATGCGCCTATCCTCGCATATAATTATTGACTAAAATTGCGTTAGTTAATAACGGAATTAAATAAGTCAAATAACGAGAATGGACTATTGAATACAAATATTTTGTATATGAAGCGAATGGAATAGAACGAAGCAAAACGACGCGCAGTGGAGTTGACGGGTAAGCCAACTCCCCTTTAACCAAAAGTTAATCAATATTTATAAGCACACAAAAATAAGTTACAGACATGTGATGAGTAATCGGATAAGAAGTGTACACACGTCTACGCGTCCATATAAAAGCAGTCAAGATTGATAAGCGAATAATTAACAAGGTAAAAATGTGACTCAAGCAGAGTGAATAGAATGCTCTGTCCGGAAGTTATAATAAGGTATATGGGCTTAACATAATAACAGACACTAAATAACTATGCGGATCGTTATACACGTTAGGAACAAAAACAAAATTCAGGTCATCTTATGGGTTGATCTGACGCAGTCTAAAAAGAAGATACGACTAGAAGCAGTTGCGCAACTAGCATAGACTAAATGATCAACCACGTTTTTTGAAAGAAAGTGTCCAGTGTCATACATTTCCAGGTACTTTTTACGGGAAATGTGAGGTAATTTGAGGTAGTTTGGTCGAGTAACATAATGGAAACATTGCATTCAATCTAATAACCATACAGTTCTATGACAGTTACTAGAAGCTACGCATTTTAAGTGTAACCTATCAGCTACATATTAATCAACCATGGGTGGTGATTTACGTAAGCTCAAACTGTTTCCACTAACTGATTATCCCTTTGTATTCGATTGCTCGCTTATTACGAATTACAAATATAATACGTTCATTGGTGCTTATCTGGTTCTACCTGCCTTAAATTGTACTATTTCGGCAATTCTTAGTCAGTAAATTAATTCGAATGTTCCTAGTTACCATAATTTCCTACAGGCTAAGTAAATTATTGAAGAATAACAATTAAGACTGAATACAATAATTAAAAAATCCACTTGAAATTCTTGACTGTTTTAGTTAAGTTTATGTCCTTTCAAATTATCATACTAAACAGTATAATAATAACAACTGCAAGCCATGTTCGTAACAAATGATTACTTAGCACTTAAGTTTAAACCACACATCTTAATTGTTTTCATTTATTAAGTTAACAGATTTACTTTCATGAAAATACCTAATGACAATGACAACATATAGTGGTTTGGTTGAACTAATGATACTACTAAATAACAATATGTACTACTAATCAAGAACCACAACGAATAATGAAAGGACAGCTTACCAGGAAATGTGCACGCATACTTTTTCTTTATCTGTTCATCTTTGATCGAAAAGCAACTGTTTTCAGTATCACTATCCAGAGATTCAACTTTAATGGGGAAGACTCTACTTTGGTTATTGGAATACGAAAACATCGGATTTGTTGCATGTCATAAACTACCACACTCCATTCCTCACACTAAATTTGCAAGCATAAAAGTGGTGATAATATAAATCCTGTTTAAAAAGGGAAATTCAACACGATAGTGAACTAACGCTTGACATAAAATCAACCAATCACAATTTGAACCATTGAGATGACTGATTACATAAAATAATTTTGACCGAATGAAATAACTGGTGTTTTGTCATTCCTTATATGAATGGGTTGATTGGATGAAATTCCCATAGGATGTAACTATAACCTTTGATGCTTCAGCAAAACTGACAATCCGATAGGATATTTATCCGAACCACATAGGTATTTTCTCAATACAAATAAAAAAACGGACTCTGAGAATTAACATCTGAGTGTAAGTTGATTGTTTAGCATTGATGTATGAAGTTGCAAAAACTTTCATACACTATCCTAGAGGAAAGTCCTATTATCTACCGAATAAGTAAATATTGAATGAAACCTTCATTATGACAGGCAATAAAACTCGAAAGTAGTTTAATTTAAAAAAGGTTTCAGTATGTTTAAGTGATCAAACAGTATAAACTTCACTTGAAATTAGCCCACACGGAACCTTTATGTGATTGAAATGATTTTTAACGTTGTAGTTGAGATTAACTTATTTAAAAATCATGTTTACTAGAACTCAATACGTCTTCAGTCCCAAACGCGTCAGATTCACAATATTTATTACATTCCGGTGTTGCATGCAATGTTGAAGATCGCTGTCAAACTTTATTAGAAACTTTCCTGAAGTAGATGAACGTCTTGCTATTGCAATTCTCTGACGAAGCACACCGTAATATGGATTTTGTTTCAGTACAACTAATTGGTTAGAGGAAACCTGGGACATAATTTTTCTGATTACTTTTATCAACAATTAGCTTTCAATCTACATGTTTGAGCATTTAATAATTTGAATATTAGGTGTCTGACAATCCAACTTGGCTGTTGTCTTTACCAGAGTATGAGTTAGTAACATGTTTCGAACTGATAGTCACTAATCCAAGTTATAGTGCTTTCCCACAAACAGAACTATTGGTTATAATGAGTTGGACCAGCAAATATCACCATTCTTGATCCAACATATTTCTGGTGTTAGAAGGAGGGCTTAGAAAGTAGAGAGCTTACATAATAAGACCAACTCACAAAGATGTCTTGACTTACTCCAAACAGTCATGAGTTATACTGTCACACTCTAAGGTAGGAAAGAGCGTTTATGCCAATCGAGACTTCATTCATGCTTCTCAAAAAAAAATCATCTAAAGTTTGGGTAGCTAAGATGTGTCAATCATCCTCATACCTTCAGTAGCACTTGAATTTATCTTGTTCACCGTAGAACCCCTTGATTCTTAATATTTCTTCACTGCCTATTATTAGTTTTGCCGTTCTTGTCTCATCTTTCTATATAAGTTCAACCAGTGATGATATATGGAGCTAAAATGAAATTATACATTTAGATATTACTTAGAGTACTTGGAACACTGAGACTTGATCGACAGACCAGAATTAAAAGTATAGATCAAACAGTTTAATATTGATGACCATTGTGCTTAAGCATCTCAGGTCTGCTGGAGATTAATTTCGATACGAATACATTAGTGACGACCGCTTTGGTGAATAGTTATGTTCACATGAATAATTATGAGGTGGGATGCATGAATAGCTTATCATGTCATTCTGAGAATAGTACGTATACCCAGGTAATTGACAAGTGGGATAATCGTTCTTGATTGCGTAGTTCGAAAAATTATCCGAATATGATGAATTAGTGTATCGGCAAGGAATATTTTGTTCATAATTTTGAACAGCATTCTCAATTCGCAAGTTTGATTCTGTGTTATTGATTTCTTTCATTGAAGTTCGTCCCATTTCTTGTGGAAAAATAAGATAACGATTGATAAAGAAGGTTATTGAATTCATTCAAGCATTATAAATCATTTGATTTTACTGTGTTAATAGGTATCGAGTATTGTAATGAATTAGAACTTAAATACTGCATTAATCTTTATGCTGTTCTCATTTGTATCAGAAGGGGTTTTGTGGAGATTTTAGTAATTTCAATAGTTGAGATCATGAGTCGATTGAAGCTAAACCACCACTGGACGGCTGTTTCGTTCTGTTGTGGAACTCCTCAGCAGTGCGCATCCACGACCCCGCCTCGTGAGATTCGAACCCAGGACCTAGTGGTCTTTCACATGAGCACTTAACCACTAGACCACTGAGCCGAAACCCAACGGTGTTAATGTCTAACATCAACTTATCCACGAAATTGAACGACACATCCACCATTGTCATGTGTGAGTTACTATCTCACAATCTCGTTTGTTAATCGTCAATATAAAATGAAACAGTTTGTATAAATCATAATGTTTATGTGTCACTTACGGTAATTTTATTAAATATCAAGATTACTTTCACTATGAACATATTACATTTAGAAAATTTCGCATTTCGTCCCAGTTCAATACTTTTCAGCAACATTTACTGTAAGAATTTCCTCAATCTTTCAATTTCAAATTATTGATTTAGTAGTAACGTATTTCGAGATTTGATGCTTTTGATTTTGATCCATTATTTGGCTATGAGTGTGTACGCTAGAAAATTCTTCAATTAGGACAAAGTTAAAATTTTTAAGTAGAAGTTTACTTCAACCTACCTGATGTAAACAAATCAGTACAAATCTGTGTCTAGACCTTTTATTTTTATATAACATATTATTACTGTTTATCTAATCAAAGAAACTTTCTTCTGTTGCATTCTTTTAAATCGTTTATCGATGAAAAATAAAGTTATTGTAAAAAATCTATTAAGCAAATATTTGGATGATAAGCAAAGATGGATAGTGGTTAGCAGTGGAATCCAGGACGCCCGTTTCGTCCTATTTGGGACTCGTCAGCTGAATGTACCTGCATCTCATAGTTGATGTTCGCTCTGGGACTCGAACCCAGCACCGTTCGTTTCAAACGCCATCGTGTTACCCACTCAGCTACTGAGTCCTTATAGCCACACATGCCATTAAGAGACTGATCAATTGAGAAGGCTGAAGTCAATAATACAAAGTGAATTTAAATAATTGGATGCTCTGTAAATAACATGATATGTATCATTCTACAAATCGCATGATTATTTACTTTTACTTAATCAAGCTAATAATGAGTATTAATTATATATTAATGTTAGTAATCATATTTCCTTTATTTATCCGCTACATCACTTTACGACATAATGAAATTGTTGAGGTTTATCGTTTATTCGACTTATGGTCATCATTTAGGTATTCGTGATAATTTGTTCTAACTTCACTTTATGTTGAAAATTTAGGTTTTAAAATCTGCTCAATTGAATTCTCTGTAGACCTACTTTAAAGATACGAAAGTGAACAGTTAGAATATACAAAACAAACGTCGAATGGTTTGTGTACGTATTTCATCATCTCTGCAGTAAGTCTTTTGTCGAAAACTAAAGTTGTTTGGATAGAAATTCAAGTTTCTACAAACTTTACAAATGATCTACATCAGTATTCCTTTTGAGATAGACAGTGAAAGTTTTCAGTTTATTTCATATAAAACTTGAAGCATATAAGCTTAGAATGCAAGGAGACCGTATAGAAAGTAATCAAGTTTCTTAGTAATCATCCACGAAAGAACCTAAATGGGATTTTGCCTAATTATGAAAGTTTAAATTAAACACATTAACATTAAGCGAATAGAGATTAAATAAAATAAACCAATCTTATATCTAGCATCTTAAGCTATACTCTGATTAAGTTTATTGTAATCAATATACACATGAGATTATACAATGCTGACACATTTCAGTATTCAGGCCTAACATTCGATTGCTCTCATGAGATTTATAGTTGGATATATAATAAATAATAAAAATTATCTGTAAGACAAGGTCGTTTGGTAAGTGACACAAATTAACGACAAAAGACACCAATAATTATAATAACAATTATTTTTTGGCAAACATGATAGAAGCTAGTTACTTTAATGTACACGTCAGTCAATAAGTAAGTGGTAACATTTAAACATTTGTATAAAATACCACCCAATCAAACATAACACTTATGTGAATTATTCATTGCCATTTATACAACATAGGCTACCTCATACGTAGTCTGGTAATTAAAGTTCAATCAGGACTACTTGAACTAGAAACCAAACTCATTTTAATACAGTTATCAAAGTCTAGTAACACATTATTCAGTCTAACATCACAAGCTTATAAGGGCTTGAAATTGCGATGAATGCAAACTGGTGAATCTATAAATGATGGCCACAAACAAATAAACATCCAACGACTTCACAATCAATTGACTTGAATAAATACGTTGCAAACGAGAAGAAAATTTTCAGTCAAGTGATGAAAAGACTCGAACTAGTGAATGAAGCATTATGATAAAAATGTTCAAAAGCAATACTACTACTAAAATGTTACATACTTGTCACTTACTAGGCAAAAGAAGGAATGGATTTATGTAGAAATTTCCAGGTGGCGGTTCATTTATCAAATTATAACCTAGAACATTATCTTTCTTCCCGAAACGACTAGCTGTTATCCTCCAATATTCTGCAAAATAATTCCATGTTCCTGAGACATTTTTATATATACTTTCAAATACATGTGCACTCTCATACGTGGTGTACGTTAGAAACCAGTTGCTTTTACTTGGATCTTTCGTTAGTGGCCAAGGATATTGGAATAAATATGGTGGTCGCTTTATTTTATCCATAAACCAATTAGGCACAGCATCGATTGCAGCTAGACGTTTCGATAATCCATCTTGATGCAAGTCAATGATAATATAAACTCCATATAATCCAGCATTGTCGATAATCTTTTCAATGATATCTAAGTACTCTCGACTGGTTTCATTTTCCTGTGGTTTCAATGCTATCCAATTGAATTCTAAGCGTATAACATTAATTCCCCAATCTCTAAGTACTCTGAATGAATGAGGGTCAAGTAGTTTTGGAAAGTAAAATGGTGCGACCTTATGCACACAGTTGACTCCACGAAATAATTTAATAAATCCTTGTGAATCAACAAAGTGACCAGTATCATCGTCGATGGTGATTTTTGCATGCGCGTCTGAATCAAACAATTTTGGTAGTAATATCATCATGCATGACAAACGTAAGACTGCATCGACTGCAATGTTCATAAATTCTCCAAGAAGTTTATGTTGCTTTGAATATTTAGTCGATCTCATCGAAGTGAATAAAAATTGCGTTTAAAACCACAAGGACAATGGATTAGGTTGGTGATTGATGGCGAATAGTAAATCAAATGAGAAACATGTACTCAGTAATTTATTGTTATGTGTGTTTATCAGACTTCTAGACGTTGACTGACACTTATCAAATTTATAATTACTGATGGAAGTGAAGATAAATATGGTTTATATATTAGATATTTAAGTTAAATGAGACAACTAGAAATGGTTACAGTTGACCGTGATAAATTAATCAGAATGGTCTAATTGGTCTTATTTATATATATATGTCACAGTGACCTTGAGAGTTGAAGGACTGTTTCCAAATAAACTATAAACTATCATTGGATCAAAATGAGTTAAAATGAATAGTTAGCTAATCATTCTATTTTCAGAAGTGGTTGTTTAATATTTCACAGGTATTTTAAAGCGGACAGTTAAAGCGATGTCTACAAATTGTAGATCAAATACAATTGTTAGTATGTGGCATCTATCTTATTAATTATAATAAGCTACGGATTTGTGTTAATTGGTTAACTACTACTGTACTGTACTGTACTGTACTCTACTGTACTGTACTGTACAAAACAAACAGAAATTCGATTAGTACTCTTTATTCCGAGTGATTTGCACGCTTCAGTACACTTAACAGTTACTTTCATCTTCTACCGTGAGTTACGAGTGGCAATAGATGGGTATTGTATGCGTCGATACTTCCTTACTGTTTGGATGAATCAAGTGCTTTCGAAATTACATATAACCAGCTTTTGTATTTCTATCACAATAAGAAAATTTATGAAGTGAATGTTGTGTTACGACTTGATTAGGTAATTAACTTATCAATCTAGTCGTTGAGTAACACATATCAAAATGCATTCTTTTCGAACAACGGTAAATATAAACTTTTATATTTTATAGAAAATACGTGACCATTTTGTGATTACATCTAGAGAAGTTCACATAACTTATTGACAATTTGATGAATAGGAAAATCTGAAAGGATGTCGAGTGTATGGAATAGGGTTAAGGCATTGGAAAAGAAAACTGGTTTTGATAAGCGAAACATCTTATTTTGGTAGTATTTGAAATCTTTTCAATATGTTCAACTGTATGTCATAATCACTTGAACGCAAATGTAATGCAAATCACTGGAAATTTGAGAACATTGAATGTCAGCATAATCACAGTTACTTACGATTAAGTTATAAATGTAAATAGTGATAAATCAATGAACAAAATGATTAATGAGTTATTGCTTTGATGCAGCGCATGCAGTTTACTGTAGTCTAGTTTTATTGCATTATGATGTGAAAATATCATCCAACAGTTCACGATGAACAATATTGATATAGATTTGGAATAAGTTAGTAAATGAGTTTAATTATTGTTGTCTGAATGCTTATCTTGAATTGTGTTTGGTATGATGGTTATTTGCACAAGTTCAATTTTTGTGTTGATCAACGTACATGGTGCATAGACAAACATTAAATTAGTATTATTTTCATATATTTTATAATACAATTGTTCTGGTATAAAACGAGTTCTCACTCCATTTGGATAATGAATCGACATTGGAACAAAAATCTCCGCAACTAACAATGCTGCGTCCACATTCGTACAATACCTCTGTGTTGGTACAAAAGCATAATAAAACACACCTGAATCAACATCGAATCTCAGCTGGACAGGTCGACCGGCAGTTGATTGTGGATATGCACGACTGAATGATTTCAACTGCATGCATGAGATAGAAGAAATAATGAAGTGAAACAATCTACTGCATTAATGTGAAATACATATGCAAGTGATTCAATTTGAAGACAGTGTAAACCATGACTTGATAGCTTGACAAGCAAAGGAGTTAAGGAAGCTTTGCAGAGATATACTAGGATGAAATAGTTGTTGAAATATTTGTAAAAGAACCATGACAAATTAATTTCTTATCGTATCTCACATACACGAATGATCAAACACTAATGATTAGCTAGTTATGTGATTACAGTATGAAGTAAAATGACTCATCGAAAATTAATATCACCACAGAAATGGAGTCAGCTGTTGATGTTTTTCGACCAGATGTTTTTGCTCATAAGCTGCTTACTTTAGAACTCTATCATAAATGACATTGAAAATAGAAGATCAGAAGCGAAGTGAATTCTTCAAGTCATCGCTTGTCGTTTTGCTGCTCTTTGGTCATTGGACTGTCATTAATGATGACAAACATTCTCGAATTGTTTTCAAGAAATAGGTTGTCGTAACCTGATGATGAAAACATTTTCACTAAGCACATCAGATGATCGTGTTATGCTGGCGGTTAACGAAAGTTTGATAATGCCTAATACTGGAGTTTTCCGAAGTTATCTCAAGCCGAACATGAAATTCAAACAGAAAGTAGATGATGAGGACTGGAAGAGTGATTTCAGAATATGTTCCTTACAAAGTAATTGTTTGAATAGCGGAGTGAGTTGTGTGTGAATAAGAGAACATAAACGCTTAATTTGATAACCAATATACAACGTATCTGAACTCACTATTTAATGTCATGTTAACATTTTATCAACCATACGTCACTGAATTTATTAGCAGTTTTATTTTGTGTGGGCTATTTAAGCTCCAAAGGAAATTGCCTAAATCAAAAGCATAAACATAAAACATTTTATTTGGTGAAGTGTTCCTCTCTGATTTTATCTAGGTTTCCCACCTGACTTCTCGTTCACTAGACTTGGTATGGTTGCCAAAGAGGAGGCGTAAAGTGTGCAGTTCTGCGGACACCGTTGAGAAATCGAGAAAGGAGTGATTAGTGTGTGCGGTTCGGCCTAGGAAGGAGAGCCAAAGTGGAGTATTTCAGTTGCTGATGATGGTGAAAACGAGTGGGAACAGAACAAAATGACTCTCGTATAAAATTGACATAAATCAAAAATAGGTATTTATCAATAATAAGACCTACGGAAATGTTGTCCACAATTAAGTTAGGAAATAATTCATTTCCGTCCCAATAGGTCCAGGATTCGAAGTTACGGTCAGCTGCATTCATCACAGCGTTACATTCAACCGTATTTATTGAATCTGGATTGCCATCAGGAAGACACAGACCGAATTCTGTTAAAAAGCGTCCGCCACCAGTGAATTTAACGATACTTCTCACATTATCGAATGCATAATTCAAGAGGTGCTACACACAACCAATACAAATATTAACATTGATTAAGTATGAGAATGATTAATGTAATGAAACTAGACTACAATAAACTGCATACACTGCATCAAAGCAATAACACATTAATCATTTTGTTCATTCACCTATCACTGATTACATTTATGACTGAGTCATAACAGACTCGGAAACAGCAGACGTTCAATCTTCTCCTATTTCCAATGGTTATCATTATATTTACGTTGACGAATTTGTACATGACCGAGTGAGGAGGAAAGGCATGAAAATTGAGTAATCTCGAATGATGTGGTTTGATTACAATGTGGATGGTAAGGAATGCAGATGATACTACAAATCATCATAAAACCAGTCGTTTGTTAACAATTCATATCACTCCTAATTATCAATTCATTACGGTGGAAATGAACTGGTTCCAGAAAGTGACATCTCGTCAGCGAATGACCATTATGTTTGTCTAGCTAAATATCACATTTACCGAAAATTCTACATAAGCCGTCTGCCTATTTGATTAACCATATATAGTTATTGGAAATATTCAATTACGAGTATCATAAATGACGGAATGAATCACATGATGGCGTCAGAATTCACGTATTGATTGAATCCACTCAAAGGAATTTCTCACATTAGTATGCTTGATAGAGATGAAATAATTACAGTTTATCTGTGTGTGTGTGTGTGTAATGAGGAATTCTGCAAATAGTCGTTATTTGTTCATAGTCCATACAAACAACAACACTGTTATCCACCACTATGTTGACGGAAAACGAGATAAATCCCCTTCTGTTCATGCACAAAACATTCCATCAATATTCCATTTTGCTAAAACCTTTGAAGCTTTACAGTCTATTCAAACATAATAATTCAGCAATCACCACAAATATATGAAGAATGAGATTAGTTATGAAATTCCACACATTATGAATGACGCTTTGAATACACTGATTGTTAGTGTATTCATGAAATCACGTCATGTCAGTTCATTGAATCATCGAACATTTATTTTATAAATTGATTAGCACCCATTACTATTAATTACAGTTTTCATGTGAAATCATAGTGTTTAGTATTTTGGTTCCTAGATTACTTACTCTACAGTACTGTAATTAATTTCAGTTTGTTTTGTGGTGTTTTGTTCACCCCAATCAGTTCATCATTTATTAAGGACACATTAAACATTTATCCATATCAGTTGTAACTATCGTTTGTGTTTTTTGAAATGAAATATTCACTGTTTTGTCTGATCTCATGCATTTTGTATGTGGAGACGGCAAATGGGAGCTCGAACTAAACACAATAATTTGTTAGTCAATTTTGTTCGTAACAATCAATGTCTTATAAGTTGGTGCGAATAACAGAACGGAATTGTACTTCCCTTTGTATTTATCGATGCAATAATCATATCAGAATTTCACTCGACTTCATAAACTGGACATTGCGTCAGCGACCCTAACCCTAACACAATATACATATGAATGCAATGCTTCTGTTTCCACTTTCACGTTTAGTTTATAGGTGGTTTTGGCTCATTCACTATATCTCAAGAATACTTAGATGATAAAATTCCTACTTATCATGGCTTTATAGAATTATTCGTCAATGCTACTTATTCATCTACGCCCAATTTCAGACACACCCATTGCTATATCTTTTATTAGTCAGCATGATTCATAAACCATGAATGATATTACTTTATAGAAGGAATGTAAAAATCTCTCATCTTATTTAACTTGTTTTAATCAATTACAAAGTACACCATCGTTCTGACAATTTTGCATTCTTATTCATCATCATATTGTTTACTGAGAGTATTTCCATGGTGAAACGAAATGAATTGGTGATTGGTAATTGATAAATATGAGCTAGTTTATGGATGTTTTCACATCACTTCTAAGTAAATAAACTCTGAAGTACATGAGTGTTTTGGTGTTGTTTTCATTATTGTTATTATTTCATTATTACTATTATCATTTCTATTTTCGGTGTCCAATCTATACATTGTGAAGGGTTTGGTTTTCACAGAGGATCAACAACAATGAATGTATTACCTGAAACTAGAAATCATTACAGAATCTTTTGTCTTACAACGGAACACGTCAAGAGTAATCACCCACAATGATGCCAAATAATGGGGCACAAACATTCAAACCTGAAGCTGGGAAATGAAAATGTAGACCTCTATGATCAAATTCAACTCATCAACAATCACTGTTAACTGAATTCTCGATAGAGCTCATTGGTTGTGCGATGTCATAGATGATAAATATTTCATCGTTGATATGGCCGAATCCCGGTGATAATAACTTCTCATTCTGATCTAACGAAATTTCGTAGAGTGCTACGTGGTTTCGGAAACAAAAGTGAGCTACAAGTACTTGTCTGAGTTTGCTCAAACTTATTTTCCAAGTCAACATTTACATATTTAATGAGCGTGTTGAAAATGTTCAACTATAAAACTGAAACGTGTGACATAATATCTCCATACGTCTGCATAGATGAGAGATAATTTGACTCGGAAATTTCTGTCAAGGATCAACAAACCAGAACCAACAGATAACTCTTTTGATAAATCATCGAGTAACTCAATCGCATTAACAAACTATTTAAAGGGGAACATTGTGAAGAATTGCGACTGAACAAATGTTCATTGTCAAACGGATTTGGAGTAGTGAATCAATCAATTTAATATCATGATCGAAATCAGTTGAAATATTTAGAAACGCTCATATCTATCTAATCATAAGATAATCAAGAGTAAAATCTCAATAGATTTAATGTTTCACTATTTATAATATTATCACGTGAGCAATCAATTACTGAAGCTAAAGCCTACTTTCACATGGTTGGTTTTTTGGGAAAACTTGCCTAACAAAATATCTCAGACTGTATGTTGTTTAACTGACGACCAATAAATAATGACGTTCTTACTATATGAAATTTGGTGAGATAATTAAATTTTAGGCTTGACAATAACGTGAGGAATTCAGCTGACTGAAGCTAAAGTGTCAGCCATCGAATGCTAAACTGCTGATCTGAGAACTCACCCGCTAAGAAATATTAAAGCTTAAGATTTGTTTTCTGTTAGGGTTGTAAGGGTTGTAAGCACTCACTACAGAGTAGTGAATAGTTGTC